CAAAGCCCTTGGGAGCCCTCTGGGCATTCCCCGCCAGCCCACGAGGTCAGTGGCCCGGGCCTGCCCTTCCCCCACCCTCCCAGTGCAGGGACAGCTGGGACAGGCAGGGAGGCTGCTGCAGGGGCAGGGACTTTGGAAGGTGACGCTCTCTGCCAAGATCAGAGGCCCTCCTCTCCCGGGAAGCCTGTGAACCGCAGCCCCCATCCCAACCCCCCCCCCCCCAACAGCCAGGGCTCTGGGCTGAACGGACACCTTCCCCTCCGGTTCCAGCTCACGGCCACTCCTCTCAGAAGCCATAGGGGCTGAGAAGTGGCCTCTAGGGTCGCCAGGAGCCCTGGCACAAGCGGGGAGGTAAGGCTAACAACTCCTACCAGGCTGCTTCCCTGCTCTGCAGGAGAGGCTGAGCCCCAGCTATAGAGGAAAGGCTTCTAGAAGCCAAGCACAGGTCCAAGTCAGGACGCAAGGTGAAGGAGACACAGCCCTCAGACTGTCGAGGAAGGGAGGACCTTCCGGGAGGCCCTGCAGGCACGGCCTCCCCAGGCAGAGCCCAGGGTCTCTGTGAGTTCCAGAACCTTCCGCAGCGCCCTGGTAAGGCCGAGGTCCTGAGAAGTGGAGGCGCAGACAGCCTACTCAGCTCTCCCGTTTGCTAGGGTCTGGGTCTCCCCCACGGGGGCCACAGGGCTGGGGGGGATGTGTGGGAGCCTCACTCCCCAGGCACTGGGGGCCCCAGCCTGGCGCTCCTGCATCACGTCGCCCAGGGACATCTGTGCCTGCCACAGGGGTGCTGTGAGCACGCCCGTCCCCGTGGGAGGGGAGGAGGCGGTGGGTGCCGTGGAAACCTGGGCTCCTGACAACTGCAGGGCCGCCGCCGAAATAGCCACCTCAGTTCCCCGGAGAGAAAGGCAAGCCAGAGCGGGGCGGAGAGCTGTGGGGCCCGCGCTGAACTGGACACCTCGCTCACCACACGTCCCTGTCGCAGCCAGGCCCCCAGAGCCGGGGAGCCCTGCGGGGGCCGAGCTGAGGCTGTCCTCACGCAGGAGCAGCTGGGCCCTCGCACTCGGCGAGGGGAGAAGCTTCCTGGCATCTCCATCCTCATCCACAGGGCTTTCCTGTCCCCGTCCCTTAAAGGGACCTGTGCCTTCTTCACGGTGGTCGCATGGATACCCCTGTATCTTCCCACCTCTTAAAGCAAGTGGGAGGCGGCCCTGGAGACTGCAGCAGGGCTGGGCCATCCCAGCTCCCACCTGGGATGGGCCTTTCTGGAAGGCACATTCCGGTCTGCCTGAAGCTAAAGGACACGCAGACCTGGGGAGGCTGCCGGCCCTCCAGGAGATGATCTGACCCTTCTGCCCAGTTCGCCTTCTGGTCTGGCCCCCAGATTTCCCAGCATCCTCCCGAATACTGTCCTGCCATACCTATCCCTGCCCACCCTGGACGAGGCAGCTACTGCCTTTACTTAGTCATTCCCTCCACGAAGTTGCATAATCTGACTCTAAAAATGGCCAGGCGCACGGCTCTGCTGTCAGGTCTCATTCCCATCAGGTGGAGGGCAAACGACGCCCCTCCATCGCCAGGCTTCGGAGGGCCTGCCGGGGTGCCCTGCTCCGTGCACCGCTGGGGGGTGGGGCAGGGTGGGGGGCTGGGGCTCAGCCCTCCCTGGGAGTGGCGGGGTGCCCGTGCAGGAGGGGCGGGGGCGGGACGGCTGTCCCCACACCACCCTGCAGCTGCCCCTGCCCAGGGTGCACCCCGATCCCACAGTGACTCACAAATCTGTTGTGCTCCTGGGCTCGTTAGGTAAATGAATACACTTAATTATAGAAATTAGATGAGTCTCTGGTTCTGGCAGCAACACAGAGCGCAGAGGCTGGGTGGGAGCGGCAGGCGACTCAGAGGCTGGGCTGGGCGTGTGAGGCAGTGGAGTGGGGGGGGGGAACTGTCGTGGAAGCAGAGGAGGGAGCAGCGCGGGGAGGGTGCTGAGGCGCGGAGGGGCGCAGATGGGATGCTGGGCCCGAGGCCTGCTGGGCGTCACCTGGAAAGGAGGGGCTCCCCAGGCCGGGCGGCCTATCCTGGGGCTCGGACTCCAGGGACCCCACCTGCGCCCCAGGCCAGAGCTGGAGAATAGCAGCCTCTTTTCCGAGGGGCGGGGGGCACTGCTCCCCTCGGGAGAGAGGGCCCCTGGACACCAGCCAAGATGCCCCACGGGACAGCCTTATGCCTTGCTGGTCTGGGTGTGGGATGGACAGACAGACAGACAGAGATGTTTGGTTGCAGGCTGTTTGCTTACTGGTTGAAGGCCACCGGGAATGGAAATGTGTTTGCTGGGATTAAGGTGGGACCCTGTGGGGGAGGCAGGGCTCAGGGTCACAGGTCCTGGGGGCGTGCCAGCCCATCCAGCTCAGGATGGAGGCCGAGAGTGATCTCCCCCTGCTCTCGGGCCCAGACCCGAGCATTCTGGGGAGCTGGGTGCTGTGGAGGAAGCTCAGGGGCCTAAATTCTCTCGCCTCTGGCCCAGGTGTCTGGGGCCCCCGGAGGAAGGGGGCTGGCAGGCATGAGTGCGCTGCCTGTGAGTGCGAGCCCAGAGGCTGGAGGGCCGAGGCGCGGCTACGAGGCCGAGTGCCCGGGGGGTGGGGTGGGGAGGGGGTGGGTGGGGAGGGGGAACAGGAGCTTTCTCGCAGGGTAGGGCGAGCTGAATCTCGTTGCCAGTGGAGACAGCCCCAGGCTGGTTGCAGCCGCTGCTGATAGGTTGTTTAGACTCCTGGACTTTTCACAGCCTTGGTGAAGAAAAGGCACAGGGGTCAGAGGGCGGGCTCCTCACCCGAGCAGCTCCGGGACATCCACGCTCCAGGGAGCCCCGCAGGGCAGGCCTACCTGGGAAAGGCTCCCTGACTTTCCCTGGTCTCTGGGTCGCCTGGGCTCCTCAGGACGGACTCCAGGACCGCATGCCCAGCTGACCTTTGCCCTGTTGTGTCCCCAGCCGAGTGCCTCTCCAGCTGCATGCACCCTCCTTCCCCAGCCCTTGGAAACCTCAGTGAGCACCTGCCACCTTCCTCCCAGGGAGCTCTCACTCTGATGGGCGTGCAGCTACAGGCGGACAAGGGGGTCCGCGCCAGTGCCTGGCAGAGGCCCGCGCCCACCCACTCCTGGTCCTGCGTGAAGCCTGGGCGCGGAGAAGTGAGCACGGCAGAGTCTGGCACAGGGAAAAGTTGCCGAGCGAGCTGCACGGCCTGTTTCCCGGCAACCCACCTGTTCCCTCTCGAAGGTTACTCTAATTGGCTGAGCTGCACGGTTGTTGCCAAGAAGCAGTGTGGAGGCATCTTGAAAATAGAGCAGCCAGGCCCCACGAGCACCCAGAGAGCTTTGGTGGTGGGGCGCAGGTGCCACCTCGCCCGAGTGTGACCCCTTCCCCAGGGGCCACCCGCTCCCCATACCTTGCGGTCCCTCCCGACTCGCACCCTCACGGCCTCTTCCACTGCGCTACCACCCCGGGGGCCCCTCACAACGCTGGGGCGCAAGCAGGCCTGCTCGAGTCCTGCGCGAGAGCAGGGGGGCCCCCTCCTCACACTCTGGGCTGGCGACTGTATGCCCCAGCCAGGGCAGGGGCCGGGACTGACCAGGACACAGTGGAGCCTCTGCGTGTTTGGAGTAGGGAGCAGGGAAGAGAGAGAACCCCGGAGCCAGAGGACTGGGGCACGCAGAGGCCAGGGGTGACCAGGGGTACACGGGAGAAGGTGCAGCAGTCTGGGCACAGCCACTTGCCGCCCTTCGGCGGGGGGCCTCTCCTCTGGGCCACCTCCTTCTAGCTGCCAGGTCGCAGCCTCCGCTTCTGACAGCCAGCAGGGCTTAGGCTGACACCCGCCCCTCAGGGCCCGGCCAGGGTCTGGGTGCGCTGGGGATCCTGTGGGAGCGGAGGCGCCGAGAGGGCCAGGGCCAGGGGCCTGGAAAGGTGGCTCTGGAGGCTGCATGGCTGGACAGGCCAGGAGACACCCTTGGGAGGACCAAGATACCACAGGCTGTTCCTACAGCAGCCACTGCCCGTGCCTCAGTCAACCCAGACTTGGTCCGGGATTTGGGGACAGTGAGAGGCGGCAGGGGGAATGGGCTGGAGGAGGGCTCGTTAGGAGGTGGCCCAAGAACCAGGGCACGGCTTTGTTTTGGGGCAGTCGGGGTGGATCCTGAAACCAGACAGGGTGTTTAGGGAGGTTGGGTCCCCGGTCAGGGCAAGAAAGACAAGGAAAGTAACTGGGGGCTGGGTGGAAGGAGCACTTGGGCCTGAGGCCCCGGCTCCAGCCACCACCCCCACCCCCTGCCCTCGGCCGTCCTTGGTGGTTCCTGCCCCTTGCAGGCCAGGAACCCCGGCTCCAGCGCCCGGGCCTGTGCACTGGTGGCACTGCAGCCTTCCGGGACAGGAGGCCATGGGCGGCGCCCCCGAGCTCTCCAAGTTCTTCAGAGCACTCCTTGGAGGGGACCCGCTCTCTCCCTACCCCCCACCCCTGGTCACATCACCCTGTGGCTCTACTCAAGTCACATCCCAGCGGCTTGCAGAGCTGGGTCAGCCCCTCTTGGGCTCCAGGCCCCCCAGGGCAGGACGGAGGAGTGGGCCTCCTCAGCGCTGACGGGACTGCTTACTCGGGGAGCCTCAGCCGGGCGTAAGGGAGGCCGAAGGAAAGGCAGGCTGTGACCCCGGGAAGCGGGGCCTGAAGGTGTCAGCAGGAGCCAGAGGGGCGGAAGGTAACAGACTGGGGGGTGGGGTCCCCTTGTGGTCAGGGGCACCTGTCTTCCCCGGGGGCACCTGGGGAGCGGGCTGGGGGTACCTTCTGAGAATGCCACAGGCCTTTCTAGGGAAATCGGGGGCTGGGGGTCCTAAAAGTGGGGGCTCGCCCAAGGCAGAGGAGATGGAGGCCACTGCCTCGGGGGCGGAGGGGACCTCGAGCTCTGTGGGGGACACCGAGGAGCCCCAGCTCCGTGGGGGCGCGCCCCCAGCCCTGCCTGGGGAGCCGTACCTTTCCGGACGCTCCCGTCGGCACAGGCGTAGTCCCCAGCGCTGAGCAGGAAGCAGGCGGCGGCCTTCTTGTTCCTGTCGCGCGTGCCGGAGCGGCGCAGGGCCCGGCGTTCCTCGGGGCTGGGGGCGGAGGCCAGCGGCTGGGTGAGGCCGGCTGCCTCCTCGTCGGACAGCACCGCGTTGGCCTCGCCGTTCTGCTTGGAATCTGCGGGGGGGGCGGACGGAAGGGCCGCCGCGTGAGGGCCATGGACCCTCCTCACGGGGTCACTTGGGTGGGTTCGATCCCAGACCAGGGTGTCGCTTCCCCCTGAGGAGGGGACCCAGGGCGGGGACCTGGGCCTGGGGGCAGGGGGCAGGGGGCAGGTGCTGGCTTCCCTCCCGGCCTCGGCCGGGCGTCCTTCCTGGGAGAAGGTGCCACGAGCAGGGAGGCCCAGGTCGGCTGCGGCTGCCCTGGGAGACGGGCCGGGCGGGCGGCGGCAGGCCCTGCTCCCTCCTTGGGTCTGGCTCAGGCTGACCCTTGACGAGCGCACTCCCTCAGAGGATGCCTGGCTTGCTGGGGTGCTGGGGGGCCTTGCCACGGCTGTCCGCCCAGACCCCCTGAAGGCGGTTCCCCTTGTTCACCAGGCATCTGAGCTAGAGAGCCCTCTGAGCTTGGGGCTCCCCTGGGTCTGGGGGACCCTGGGGTGGAGGAGGCCCCATTCAGCTCTGGCTGCTGTGGGCTCTTCGCCCCGGGCTCCCTCAGGCAGCGGCCCAGGCGAAGGGGAGCCCTTGGATCTGGAGAAGGGGGGCGCTCCTCCAGAAGGCAGCGGCCGGGCATTGGCCCGTGATGCCCTGACTGTGGCCTCGCGGGGAGGGCCCGGCTCAGGCGTGGCCGACGGCCACAGGTCAGCGAACGCCGAGCGCTGGCCTGCGGACCTGCACACTGCGACACCGGGTTTCCCTCTGAGCCCTGACGGGCCTCGGGGTGCGGCGGAAAGTCCCTGGGGCACCGGCCCGGGGATCTCTATTCAGGGGTAGGGAGGGGGTAGCACTTTGGTGGGGGGGCGGAGGGGAGCATGATGGGTACGGAGTCCCAGGCCCCGAACAGCTGAGGCACGAGTGGCTTCGGCGTGTGTGATGGGCACCCACCGACAGGCCACAGGTGAGAGTGTACCCGGTCAGGCACCTGCCCCGGTGGACAAGTCCCACTCTGCCCACAGAGCCTAGCCAGGGGCTGCTACCTCAGTGTCCTGGCCCACCCCTAAGTCCCCAACGGCCCCCCATACCAAGAATCCCACTTCCCTTAGGAGGCTGTTCCACACCCACCAGTGAGGTGCCCCCTCTGACCGAGCTCCACCTCGCCAGGGGTTAAGTGAGCCAACCTCCTTTCCCGTCTCCTGACTCAGGTGGTAGGGAGGTTCCCGGGGGGTCCCTCCCGCCCTTGAGAAACAGGGTTCAGACACGCGGGCCCTCCCTGTCCAGGACGCGGGGACCAGCTGCTGCAACCTTTCCCAGCCCTGCCTGGGCCACTGCCTCTGGGGTCCCCTCGGTGCCCCGTGAGTCCCTGAGCCCAGGACTCGATCTAGACTGTGCCGTGCAGAAGGCAGCTTCCCGCTGCTGTTACGTCAGCACGTTTCTCGGGCCGAGAGATGGCAGACCCGACCGTGTGGAGAGCTGTGATTCCTGTGTCCACGCCCCTCAGAAGAACAGCGTGCTGCCCTCCCTCCGGCCAACAACGACAGCGTCTGAGATTTGCAGAGTGCGTTTGACGTCTCAGAGGACTTTCGTTCCTGTCATTTGTTTGGGTCTTGTCAAAGGCCTGGGGACAGGGTATGAATATCATCCCCATTTCACAGGGGAGGCATCTCTGCCCAGAGAGGGTGAGCGACTGGCCTCAGAGCACACAGCAGAAGGGGCAAGATGAGATCAGAAACCTAGGCCTCCACCTCACAGCCCCAGGTGCAGCCCATCACAGCCTGTTCGGCGGGACACTCACGCCACAGACCCTGACGCTCGGGAAGCTATCAGAGAACCAAAGGGGAGAGAGAGTCGGCCTCAGCAGTGTGCCCTCACAAAGGCACGGGCTACACTTCGGGCGGCCCAGAGCAGGCAAGCGCAATTCCAGATTCCGAGGGCGGAGGATCACGGCAGGGGGACGCCCTCGGCCATGGCCACGGCGGGAGAGGCGGCCTTCCCGCCCGACCCGCAGCCTCACCTGCCCGCTTCCTCTCGACCAGGCCCTCTTCCTGGGCAGGGGGGCTGGTGTCGCTGTAGGTGCTGTCCCGGGGCGAGGTCTCCTCCGACTTGCAGTACACGGGCGACTCGAGCTGGGGCGGCCGCGGCACATGCTTCTTCCGCTTCTTGGGCAGCTTCTGCTTGGCCATGGCCAGGGAGTAGTACATACCGAAGTTGTTGACGATGACCGGCACGGGCATGGCGATGGTGAGCACCCCGGCCAGCGCACACAGCGCCCCGACCAGCATCCCCGACCACGTCTTGGGGTACATGTCCCCGTAGCCCAGCGTCGTCATGGTGACCACGGCCCACCAGAAGCCGATGGGGATGTTCTTGAAGTCGGTGTGGTCGTTGCCCCGCGGGTCGGAGGGCCTGGCGCCGATGCGCTCGGCGTAGTAGATCATGGTGGCGAAGATGAGCACGCCCAGCGCCAGGAAGATGATGAGCAGCAGGAACTCGTTGGTGCTGGCGCGCAGGGTGTGGCCCAGCACGCGCAGCCCCACGAAGTGGCGCGTGAGCTTGAAGATGCGCAGGATGCGCACGAAGCGCACCACGCGCAGGAAGCCCAGCACGTCGCGGGCCGCCTTGGACGACAGGCCGCTCAGCCCGACCTCCAGGTAGAAGGGCAGGATGGCCACGAAGTCGATGATGTTCAGCAGGTTCTTGACGAAGTCCAGCGTGTCCGGGCAGCACACGATGCGCACCAGGAACTCCAGCGTGAACCACAGCACGCACACGCCCTCGATGTAGGTCAGGATGGGCTCGGTCTCCATCTCGTGCCGCCAGTGCACGCTGGTGGTGTTCCCCACGTGGAGGATCTCCGACACGTTGCGGTTGATGTTGAAGGCCTCGTGCGTCTCCAGGCAGAAGGTGGTGATGGAGACCAGGATGAAGAAGAGGGAGGCGAAGGCCACCACCTGCGGGTGGGGGAGGGAGTGGGGACAGCTTTAAGACAGGGAGCTCTGCGTGGAGAGGGTGGGGACCCGGGCCACCGGTAGGGCTGGGGAGGGCTGGGATAAAGCACACAGTCAGGAGCTGGAATCCCTCGTGCAGGGTCTTCATCCACCCCCGTGGGGGCTTTCGGGCCGCATTTCCCAGTCACTGCCACAGCGCCTCGAAGTTCGAGGCTGCTCCTGGCTGGAAGCCCCTGAGGACGGCTGCCCTGCCCCACTCACTGCCCAGCTCTGCCCACCTGTAACCAGGTGTGCTGCAAGGCTTCTCTGTCATGGGGGGTGAGTCACTGGAACTTTGTTAGAATGCCATTCTGATCCTGGAGGTCGGGGTGGGACCTGGGACTCTGCACTTCTAACGAGCTCCTGGGCCAGGCTGCCTGCCCGCACACCAGCCTGACTTTGAGGCCATGCTCCTCCAGGTGGGACCTGGGACCGGCAGCAGAGCACCGCCAGGGACCTAGTTAGGAGTGCCAGTTCTCAGCCCCTACCCGAAGCCCCTGAATGAGAGATGCTTGGGGGAGGGCCCCACAGTCTGCTCTAACACACCTTCCAGATGACTTGGAGGCATGCTTAATTTTAGGGCCCACTGCATCATGGGAAACGCCCCGAGGCAGGTGGCTGGAGGGAATGACCCCGGGCCTCTTTCTGCCAGCTGAGCCTATTGAGTGCCAGCCGCGACCCACCTGCAGAAGCCCCAAGTCCGAGCCCCTCTTTCTTGCCTCCCCCCTTGGGGCGTCCCAACTGACCGCCCCGCCAGTGGGCAGCACCCGAGGGAAGACAATGCGCCAGAAAGGGCGGTCTGGCCGGAGTAGCCATCCCTCCCCCTCCCGAGAGCGGGCCCTTCCTGGGCCCTGAGCTCTGAAGAAGAACTGCCCGCACCAGGATCCAAGCACGGCAGCAGCCGGCCCCCACAGCTGCCGGGGTCTCGAGGAGAACCTCAGGGGCACCCGGCAGAGCAACGGCCGGGCTTAAGTGCCCAATCATCATGAATGGAGATGAAATGCATGTGTAATAGCACCAATTATGGAGCCTTCGCCTGTGATTCATGCCATGCCATTCACCACTGTCAGGGCAGCGGGAGCGGGGTCCAGGGCCCACCATGCCACACCGCCTGTTCTGCTTGGTGGGTGGATGGCTGGGGGGGGCTTCCTCCCGGAACACAGGGTTGAGCCGAAGTTGGTGGGTGAGAGAGGACGTGGCACCCCCGCGTCTGCCCCATACCCGATTTCCTCCCCGCCATGGCGCTGCCCTGCCTAGTGAATGACGCCTCTCGGAGCTGCTCCCCTCCCAGGGAGTCTGCACCAGGAGGGGGCGGTGTGGGGCACGCGCCTTGCTCCTCCTGCCACTGAACACCGACGGACAACTCGGGACGTCCAGGGCCCTGGAGCAGGAGCAAGTCTGAGGAGGGAACTTTGGGGATGAACCCGCATCAGCTGTCTCTTCTGTGCCTGACACAGTGGGGCCCTCTGTGCGTTGTCGCTTTCCGTCCTCCCCGGGGACCCGGGAGGCAGGCCCCTCTTCCCACTTTACGGAGGAGGAACCGAGGATCAGAGAGGTTAGACACCTGCCTAACGTCCCACAGCCTGGAAAGCACGGAGACGACTTGAACTCAGCGCTGCTTCACGTCAGAGGCTGTGCCTTCTCTTCACACCCCTCCCCACCCGCTCCCGGGCAGGGCCGGTTCGCAGGCCCCGGGCAGCCTTCTCGGAGCTGTGGCTGCTGCTCCCAGCCAGCTCCCTGAGGACCATGCCACCCTCCGGGACGTGGGCCTGCATCTTAGGACAGACACCCGCCACACGCTGGGACTTCTTTACACTTGAACATGGGCGGGCTGACCAGATAGAGCGCAGAAGAAGGGGGTGGCAGACACTTCCTCCACTTGACCACTTTGCCAGAGCTTCTCCTGCCTGCTTGTCCCCACGGAGGTGAACTTCAACCTCCTTTCCCAGCCTCGATGTTCGTCCCCCGGAAGCAACGGGGGTCGGGGTGAGGGGTGGGGACAGCACGTCCCAGCGCTGCCAGGAAGCACGGGAAGCCGTCACTCGCTCCCTCCCAGGAGAAGCGAGCCAGGAGAGCGGCCCCCCTGGGAGCCCCGTGTGACCGTAATTAGTGATTCTTAGTGATTCGGAAAAACAAGCTCGGGAGGAGCTGCCCAGGGGTGGGGCGGAGCGGGGAGGGCCGGGAGGGCCGTGTGGCTGGGCCACAGCCACCTGCAAGGCCCGGGAGCCCGCCTGGGGCCTCCCTCCACTGCTGCCCCAGGTCCTCCTGCGGCAGCCTGGCGAGTGCCGAGCACCCGGCCTGAGTTAGGGTTTACCCCCCGAGTTCCTGCCATGTTCACTCACTTTAGCTTTTTGTCTTTTTTAACACTGAGCTGTCCCATCCTGTCACCTCTACCCCTCGCCCGCCACCACCTCTCAGGAGATGGGGGCAGGCAAAGGGCAGCCACACGTGTCCGCTTCTCACGGGCAACAGCGGTGTAAGAGGGGGCAAAAGGCTCGCTCGGGGTGGACCTGCGGCCAGGCCCCCTGCCCCTCAGCTGGAGCTCTTTCCAGTCTGGACCTCTGACCAAACACGTGGGGACAGTCCTCTCCTCCCGGATGGCACCTAGAGGGGCCTGCGCCTCCTCTCCCACCTCTCCGGGGCTGGCGGCAGGTGCTAACCCGGCAGGCCCAGGCAGCCCTCCCTCCAAGGAGACAGGGGGACCTGAGGCTGAGCCGTGACAGAGGCGGGGATGCGGACTCTGGCACCCGCCCTTTAGGGCCCCAGTCCTTCCTCTCTCCCCTACGCTACTGTCCGAACATGGCTGCTTGGTGAGTGGGGGCCCTGCCTACAACAGGGGCTGTCACCTCAGCGGGCCGTCCCCTCCGGTGGCAGGCCCAGTGCTTTCCTCCCCCCACTCCTGATGGGGGGCTTCCTGGGGCTGAAAAGAGCCTGGGGAGGAGGTGGCACCACTCTGGTGGGGGGTCAGGGCCTCAAGCCTCCCGTTCGGCCCCCACCGGGCCATCCCAGACAGCTGGCAGCGTGCGTGAAACGTCCTTTCCCACCGGCCCCTACCAAAGGGGACCACTCTCCTCCGAAGAGAACCCAGGACACGACGCTGCTGGAGGTCAGAACTGCCCAGGCGGAAAGCTGCCAACGCGGCCAGGCCCCCGTGCACTGGCTGGGCGGAGTCGGCTCTCTCCTGGCAGCTAGGAGGGTGCAGGGTTGCGTCCCCCAGGACAGGAGGTGCCCCGGCTCTGGGCAGGAGACCGCTGCTTCTCCAAGCTCGCTGCTCCCCGTGGGCCCCTCCCGCTGGCTGCCTGGGGACCCTCCTGTCCCCAGAGCCCCAGGTATTTCGGCTAGTGGCCCAGCCCTGTGACCAGCCTCCTCCACCAAGCTCATCCTAGGACAGTCCTTGGTGAAAACGGAGAGCCACACACTTCTGGGTGCAAGTTGGGCTCCACTGATGACTTCCTGGGAGGCCCTGGGCAAGTTTCTCAACCTCTCTGATCTTTGTTCACCGAACGGAAAACTGAGCACCTACTAGGTGCCAGACACTGTTCTGGGGGCTGAGGAAGAGCAGGACACAAAACGAGACACCCCTGGCCTTGAGACTTTACCTTCTAGTGGAGGGGCACTATCAACACATGAAAAAGCAAAGTATATCAGATGGTGTTTAAGTACCAGGGAGAGAAACAAAGGCAACAGGGGGGTAAGGAGCGTGAGGGTGGGGGAGCCGTTTCAAATAGGGCGCTCAGGCCGGGCCTCAACGCCGAGCTGACACCCAAGCAGAGACTGAAGGAGCTCTGAGAGGACCCAAAGCGGGGGGAGCCGGGGGAACAGGCAGGACCAAGGCCCTGTGGCTTCAGCATGCTCAACGTGCTGAGGGGCTGAGGGTGGTACCTACTTTCTAGGGCCACTTCGAGGATGAGCAGAAATGATATTTGTCAAACTCAGCAGAGAGCCTGGAGTGTCTCGGGAATCTGGCACAGGCCAGGGGGCGGTGGGGAGGTGACAGACACCAGGCACTGGGAACCGAATACAACCCGTGGGGGCAGGGCAGGGGAGCCCGAGGAGGGAGGGCCAAGGAGACAGATGGACAGATAAACATAAGGAGACTCACGCCCGGGAACCTATATTAAGGATGAAGTGTAGGAGAAAAGAAATGTGAGAACACAGCCAAAGGCACTTGCAGAGGAAGCGCCGTGGGGCCGAGACGAGGAGCGGAGCCTTCTGGGGAAGCAGGATCCGGGAAGCCCGGGAAGCGCTGGAAGGAAGTGGGCAGCCCGGAGGGCTACGGGAAGGGGGGGGACGGGCGTCTGCAAGGCAGGGCACCTCCGAGCTGTCCCTGGGCTCCCGGGGGTGGCCCGTCCACCCTAGGAGACCCCGGTTCTAGCCGAGACCCCTGGGGCCCCCAAGGCGGGACCTGGGCCCTCCGACCCACGGCCAGGACCCACACTGGTTCCGGGGTCCAGGGCCAGCCTCTACCTAGTCCCACCCCCGTCACGCCGGCACTTTGGGGCCTCTCGGGGCCACTGAGCTGCAGGCCGCAGTCCACGAGCCCCTGCCCCGGGAGGAACCCAGCCCGGCTCGGACCGCTGGCCTGGAGCTCCAACAGCCGCACGCGGCCCGTCCCTGCCCCCAGCTGTCCTTTCTCTGCTCGAGCTTGTCCCCTGGCCAGAAGTCCCCCCTTCCCTCAGTCTGCACGGGTAGACACCACCCACATCGAAAACTTATTTATTTATAACCTGCCTCCTTCTAAAAATTACCTCAGGGAGCCAGGTCGCCACCCTGCAGGGCTCGCAGCTCACTGCCCCCACCCCCACCCCCGCTTCCCCCCGCCTCCCCTGAACTCTATCTTCTAAGACACCTGGGACGCCGCTCCTGACCTGTCCTGTGTCGTCATCGCTGTGTCTTGTCACCTAACTTCCCTCCACTGCCACCAGCTGCCCCTGACCTGGCCCTCTACCGGACTCGTCTCTGCACTGACAGAGCCTGGCCTGGCGTCCGGCGGTAAATGTTTTCTGAATGACGGGGGCCCAGCGGGCGGCCCGCCCTCTCCCCTGGCCCCAGGGGGCTGTCTTGAGGAGAGATGGTCAGCCCCGCTCGCTGGGGCTCTCAGTGTCTGTGGCTCTCCGGGTTGGGCCCTGTCTACCGCCTGACAGGGGCCCCTGACAGGGACCCCTGCTGGGGGCCGGGTAACCATCACCCACCCGGCCGGGAGTGGGCAGAGGTCGTGGCCAGCGGCTCGTCCAGGCACAAGGACCGCACCAGTGCACGGGGCCCAGGCCCACGCTGTCCGTGGGGCGGGGGAGGGGCCTGGGGGCTGCCTGTTCCCTAGGCCCAGCCGTGCCTGCCCCTCCCCTGACTCTCCAAAATAGCCCAAGTTTATGTTATCCCCTCCCCCACTTCACACCCAACCCCAACCAGCGACAGAAACACCTCGTCATCCAGGGACAAGATGTTCAAGAGGCAAATGGGCCAGAGAGAAAAACACAGAATCAGCCCAGGAGGACACAGAGGCTGCTGCCTCGGGGCAGGTGGAGGGTGGAGGGTGGAGGGTGGCTGCAGCCTCCGCCCGACACCCCTTTACCCCTGGAGGCCGTGCAGGGGCTGCACTAGGGCCTGCTGGCACCGCCCCTCCGGGGAGCTGCAGGAGGCAGGGCAGCCAGCACCCGGGCTCGGCTGGCTGGCTCTCCCTAGCCTGGACGGGAGGGACCAGTGACCCCGTCCTCATTCTGAAGCTTGTCATGCCCACTGGGCAGCGGGTCCCAGGCAACGCCCGGGCCTGGGGGCAGAAGCACTGGGCCCTGCATTTCCTCTCTAGAAGGCCTCGGTTCCAGTCCTCAGCCTGGGCCGGGGATGCCTAGTCTTGTCTTTGGTCCTGTGGAAGTCCTACGGTGAGAAAACACAGAGCAAGCTCAGACTCGGGCACTTCTGGGGACGGAGGAGACGGGGGCTTTCGTGTGGAGGGCAAAGTGAGGGAAGGGACAGCGGGACAGCAGGGGGGCCCCTCCGAGCCCCCCTAAGTCAGAGGGCCCCCGGGCCGCAGCCCCAGGAGGTGCCCAGGCAGCCACGTAAGCGGACGTGGATTCACAGCTTTGAGTCTCGTTTACCACTGAGGGGCGACCTTGAACAAGCCCCTCTGGGCCTCAGTTTCCTTCTCCACACACTGAGGCCAACAATCCCTGCCTGCCATGGGCCGGATGAGACGTTCCAAGAAAGCAGAGGGGGCAGCAGCCGACACACAGCGGATGCTTCATCGGCGTGCAGACCCAGCCCCAGCCGCCTGCGGGGCGGCGGGGACCCTGCGGGCCACATCCTCTCCTCGGAAGGGAAGCCTCCTGGGGAAACTCTTCCCTGGGACCGATTTAGCCAAAGGAGGGCTCTCATCCTTAAGAGGGTTGGTAAGTGAGCTAGGCTGGCCCCGCCCCCGGGACCTCTGCAATGTGGGTGCGAGGGAGGGAGTGTCCCCCGTGCCATCCATCAGCCTCCGGCCCGCCCTCAGGAGAGGAGGAAGGCCGGATTCTACAGCTCTGGCTGCTGCCCGAACCGCCGCCGGTCTCTCTCGGCCTGCAAAGCCACCCTGGCTGTCGCCGAGCCCCACTCTACCTGGGACTGAGGACAGTGGGCAGGTGGGGACAGGACCAGCTTATGCTCGCCGCCAGCTCCGGCCAGAGAAACGGAACCACAGCACCTCGGCCCGTGGGCCCGGCTGCAGTGAGGGGAGCAGGGGTGAGCACCTCCTGCCTGACCTGGGCCGGGCTGGTAGCTAGGCAACAGGCTCCCATGGTCAGCTCAGCTCACTTCCCGTTGGAGTCTGGTCTGCTCCCGTCATAACATGTTACTCAAACCAGACGCTGCGGGTGGAGAGATGCCCGGGGCAGAGTCCCACTCCTGGGCCCCGCCGGCCCTCAGTGAGGACCCCACGGCCGTGGGCACAGCGCTGCCGGTCCCTGCCAGGGAAGGCACGCACACAGACCCGGGTGACAGAGTGGGGAGAGCCCAGGCCCAGAAGGGTAAGAGAGGAAGTGCCACCGTCTGCCCTGGGGCTTTCCAGTGTCATCCACAGGAAGTACAGACCCTCAGACCACCTTCTGCACCGAGTGAGAAAGGAGCCAGCTCCCCACCATCAGTGGAAAAGCATGTTGTAAAGTGTGGGGGGGTGGTGGCTGGGGGTCCAGAGCCCTGGCTCTGACTCACGGCCCGCCGCCACCAGGTGGCTGTGTGATCTTGGGCCCCTGTTTACCCTGTCACGGCCTCGGTCCATTAGTGGGGATAACACCTCCACTGTAAATTCATTGGGAGGATTAGAGTCCAGTGCCAACTACACGCATGGAGTGCTCAGTAAGTCGCAATTGTCATTAGTTAATTTAAAAAAAAATTCTGTATCTTCACTGGAGTCCCAGGAACAGCTGAAGGCCCCCTTCACCTGGGCTCCTGCGCGGGAGGCCAGGGCCCGGTGGCTGGGGCCTCCCCCAAGCCCCAGGCAGCGGTCTCAAGGACCAGAAGCCGGAAACCCGCAGTGGGCTACTGGCTCTGCTATTGGCCCAGTGCCTTCGACACGATGCTGAACAGCTCCCGAATCCTGGTCTCCGAGTTGCCTCCATGGGGACCCGGGCTGACCCCAAACTTCCCACCTCAACCGGAATGCCCTGGCTGATGTGACTCTACAGCAAAGGGACACTGGGCCTGGAGGACCTCAAGGGGCTGAGTGAGCTCAGAGCCCCTGGCCGGGCCCACTTCCCAGTGAGGGGAGGAGGAAATAAACTCACTGATGGCACAGCCCCTTGGAATCCAAGGGGGAAGAACCTGAGAAGGTGCAAAGTCGCCAGAGAGCCTGGAGCACTCAGGAATAGGGCCTAGCTCCCCCGGCACCTCACTCACTCCCCCTGGCTCGTCCCATCTCCATCAGGCTAAATCTGCCCCCCTCCCCCGCCCCCCACTTCGGAAGAGCCTGAATTGTCTGCACTTGTCTCTCCCCCCCCAGGGCACACAGCCAAGGGAAGACACCAGCAGGGTCAGGGAACTGCGCTGAGGGGCCCATGGGACTCACAGCAGACCCAGGCCAGGGCGTGACCTCGCCTTCTGAGCTGGCGTGGGGGCCGCAGGGGAAGGAACTAGGGCAGCTGACCCTGGCTTCACTCTCTGCCCTGGAGCAGGTCCCTGCCTTCCAGCCCTGGGACACCTGCAGCCCCAGCAAGGCCTGCCACAGCCACGGCCATGGAGACCTCTGCTCCTCCCTTGTCTTCCAGGCAGGAGATCCACCCGCCCTGGTCTAGCAAGCCTGCCTGGCCCCTGCCTGCACCCACCGCCCTATCTCCCGCCCTCGCCCAGAGTGGGTGTGCAGTGAAACTCTTCCTTCCACGACCAGGGGGAGGCTCAGCCCCAAAGGTGCTGGGGACGGCAGCAGGGCTCTGAGACTCAGCAGCATAACAACCTGGGACGCCAGAGGTGACAGAGCCAGTCCCTAGACCCAACACACAGTGTCCCAGAGAGACCCCGGCCAGGCTTCCGCCGCCAGCCATGAGCCCAGACGCCAGCCCAGGGCTCCCCTTTCAAAGAGTCTAAAGCCACCCTGCAGGGCTGCTTCCCACCGCCCCACCACCTCTCCCACCCAGGGGCGTCTAGGGTACCCAGATTGACTTAGGGAAGGAGGGCTGGGGATGGACTAGGCCGCCCCCAGCCCGCCCTGTTCACCCATTTCAAGCAGAACCCCGCATGAGGGCTCCCCGGGAAGCCAGGCAGTGCTGCGGCAGCAGGGAGAAGCGGCGGCAACCCTGGGCTCATCCCCAGGCAGCCTGTGGCCAGCCACCGGCTGTGGGGGCCTGCAGGGCCCAGGCAGCAGGCCCCTCCTGAGTAACTCTCCCCTCACCTGGACACCGAGGTGTCCAGGAAGTCTCCGGGGCAGGCATCTTGTCACCCTGATAAGAGACCTTTCCCAAACCTAGGATCACAGGCCTAGGTTCTGGTCCCAGCCCTGCCTTTTATGAGCAGAGGAGGCCGAAGCCGGCGCCCCCCTCGCTGAAACTCCTGGTTCCCGGCACTCTGAGCTGCGGGAGGGTGTCAGAGAGGTGGCGCACCTGGACGCAGCTCACCAAGGGCACGCGACAGAGTGGGCGCTGAACATACTCTGTAGTTTTCTTCCCCTGAACCCAGCCCGACCCCGGCAGAAGGCCCAAGAGCGGCTCCCTTCCAGGGCTCTGACCCTGTGGGGGAGTGGGGGTGCACCAACACAGGGGGCCTGTGCAGACAGGAGTGGGGGAGAGCTCAGCAAAGGCACCCCCAAGTGCTGGGACAGCAAAGTGGCCCAACCCAAGTAGTAAGTCAAGTGTGTGCCGTCTCCTGATGAGGTGTGCAGGGGACAGGGCGGGGTGTGCTACTAGAGGCCTAAGGAAGGCAGGGGCAATGGGAGGGAAGTGAAGGAAAGCTAGGTCAGTTCGGGTGAGGATTCTCCCTGCCTCTCCCCACCACCACCCCAGCCCCCTTGCAGGCCTGAGAGATGGCCCAGGCTCCTGCCACTCACCCTGGCCGCCCTGGAGGAGTAGGGATCCTCGAAGAGTGCCCACATGCGGGGCTGCCAGCCGCGGCAGCCCCCGGCCCCAGCTCCTGGGCCCGCGCCTCCCTCGTGGGGCCCCAGGCGCTGCAGGGCCAGCTCCCGCTCCTCATCGCCGACCTCATCGCCCTGTCCCGCGCCACTGCCGCCCCCGTCCGGGCTCTCGAAGATGTCCAGCGCCTCTTCGGCGTCGCGGTGCTGCCGGTAGGTCATCCAGCAGCAGGGCTCCACGTCGGTCTCGTCGATGCCCCAGAAGGTGAGCTCCTCCTCAAACAGCGGCCCGCACACGTCGGCGGGGCAGTGCAGCTTGCCAGTGCGGTAGTAGTTGAGCACGTACGCAAAGACGCCCGGGTGCCGGTCGAAGAAGAACTCGCAGCCCCCGCCGCCGCTGCTGCCGCTGCTGCCCGCGCCGCCGCCATCGGACTCCGGCCGGCCCCCGCCATCCGGATCAGCCAGCCAGGCGAGGCGGGTGCCCGGCAGGGTGCGCAGGGTGCTGCGGTAGGTCTCATGTCGCGTGCCGCCCACGTTGATGATGATCTTCTCCGACGCCTCGCCCTTGGCCATCTCCTCCTTCAGACATGTTTTGGACGGAGGCTTGTTCCCCGACTTGCGCCCGCGGTAGGAGGAGACACACACCGAGCTGATCATAAGAAGCGCTGCGGGGCTTCGGCTTGGGGCGGCCGCTGCCCTCCAAACACCCTTCCCGAGGAGGCAGCGTCAGACGGGGGAGGGGGAGGAGACGACGAGGAGGCAGGAGGCGGCGGCAGCCCCCTCTGCGGCGTGGCCCTGCCCCTGCCTCCCCCCCGGGGCGCGGAGCGGGCGGAGTTGGTGCACAGGTGGTTGGGGCTTGGGCAGGCAGCCCAGGGAGGGAGGCAGGAGGGGGGAAGGAGAGCCGAGAACCCCAGCGAAGGGCCGGAGGCGGCGGGGGTGGAGCAGGGGCTAGCACACACAAGCTCCCCCGCTAGGACTGGACACTCCGACGCTCTGCGCCCGGGACACACCCCCACTTTACCCCCCAAAAGGCGAGGAGGCGCACAGTACCCGCGCACCGCGAGGCTCCGGGGCGCGCGCGCGCTCACACTCACACGGGCCACCTTCTGGCTCCCCGACCGCGCCGAGCCCCGGTAGCGGCCGGCTTCCCCGCGGTGGCGGCGGCAGCGCAGCAGCAACAAGTCTTCCGACCGGCTGCCGGGGCCGGGCCGACGCTCTCACGGCAGCCGGAGCTCCGCGGGCCCGGGCTCTGTGCGGTCAACACAAGGCGGCGGCGGCGGCATGTGGCCTCTATCCCCCATTCATAAATCCAGCGCAGGGCACGGATGGCGGGCGGGGCTGAGCTGAGCGCGGCGATCGGGCGGGCGGGGGCTGCGCAGGGCGAGGCGACGGCAGGAAAACAAGCGCGCCCGCAGGAGCGAGCCTCAGGTCCTGCGTCCGCGGCTCGGCAGCGGCTGGGAACGGCGCTGGGCTGAGTGCTGCGCGGCGGAGGCTGCGCTGGGGCGAAGGGGGCCTCAGACGGGGCGTCCTGGATGCGCCGAGCCCAGGGGGCGGGACTGCTCCGGGGAGCTGGGATCTGGGCACTGGCGAAGAAGTCTCCCGGGCGGCGGCCAAGCGGCCAAGGACACCTGCAGGCTTCCCGGGATGCGCCAAGTGGGAGCCTCAGCGCAGCGCCCCGGCACCGGGCTCCTGTGATCTGGCGGCGCTGGGAGCCATGCCATCCACGCGTCTGCCCATCTCCAAGCGGGGAGCCGGCCTTGGCTCGCAGCAGGGGGCGGGCGAGAGGTGGCCTAGCGAGTGGGAGGGGGACGCCGCGGCGGCGGTGGGCTGGGGCTCAAGGGGTTCTCTGCCTCTCTCCGGCGATGCTAGCGGACACCATTCTCCGGTGGCGCCTTTTCCTCTCGGCCCCGCCTCGCCCGGGCGCGCCCTCGGCTGGGCGGGGTGGGCGGGGCGCGGCGCGGGTCGGTTAGGGCCAGCTGCAGGGCTTCGGCGGCTCGATCTCAGCCTTCCTCGTCCAGGCCGAGCCCAGCCGAGGCGCGTAACCCTCTCGCCGCCAGGGCCCAGCCCAGCGCGCCACCCTTGCGCGCCTCCGCCACCTTCTCCGCTCGCCCCACTCCGCCCGGCTCCCCGCCTCCCCCGAGCCCGCAGCTCCTCCCACTGCAGCCCCGGTGACAGAGAAGCGCTCTCCACCCCTGACCTCTAACCTCCGCTCTCCCCTTCTGGCGGTTTCCGTAGCCCCCTCCCCGCCAAGCTGGTCTTATTGTTGCGGTTTCATTGCGGCTGACTGGAGGCGGGATAAGAGAGTGGAGAGATGGTGTCCCCTTCTGCCCCAGACGCCGTGCTGGGCCTCCTGACCACCCCGCCCCCATCCTCCGCCTACCAGGCCCAGCCAGGCCCAACCAGGCCCAATTGCCCCGTGTCTCGATGCTTACCGCCTCTGTCACACTCACGGAAGCCCCCGCGTTGGAATGGGGACCATGCTGGCTCCTGGTCTGGGGGAAGGGAACTGGAGTCCTGGCGCTGTTACGGGTGTCGGGTGGCTGGGCCTGGAAGACGATTAAGTTAAGCCCGGGCTCGTCGTTGCCGGCCCTGCCCCGGGACCCGGTCCTGTTTCTGCTGCCGTTTCTCCCACTGCAATGGGACTGTGCCCTTGCTGCGTGCCGTCCACCTCTCTGACCCCAGCTCCCCCAGGCACTGCGTTTCCATCTTGCTCTCTCCCACAGCGCCTGCCTCAGAGAACTTGTTTGCTAAGTGATTGAGAAGCCGCTATGCCCAAAGCATTAGGCACCAACCGACTTGACTGGCCTCATCCCAAAAGCAGTTTCCAGATTATTTGTTTTTAAGTCCAGAACCTCTTCTACATCTTTCAATTAAGCCTCCTCTTAATTTTCATTTTATTTTTTCACAGTCTCGGGCAGCCTCCAGGTCCGTCTGGGTGATGTGAGGAGGATCTTAAGGCAGAAATGCAAGGCGGCTGACACACCTGGCGGGACACCTGCCAGGACACCTGCACGCCATCGGATTTCCGGACCAGGAGCACTGGCAGTGCTGGGCAAGCAAGACCAGGGCCCGGGGGTGCGCCGAGGGAGGGTAAAAGCCCCGTGCTCATTCAAGGGATTCTCATAAGCCAAAGGCTCCTTAATGATGGAGCGAGAAAACCAAAATGACGATGATCTGTGAGGATCTACATTAATAGGCAGAGGAGGTGGGGCGTCTGGTCCGCAGCCAGAAACACACACTTACGGGCACCCCGTCTGTGTCTCGTCCCCCTGGCCCTCGGACCTGACGTCTGCATGTGAGAGTTTAGCTGGCCTTGAGTTGCCTGCGGCAAAAAAGAAAAACCCCAAGTACCACTGGGAAGAGAAGATCCAGGCCTGGCCGTAAGCTGGAGCGAGGAAGGAAGGACTATAGCGAGGATATGAACGACTGGACCGCAATGAGCAGCAGTCAAGGCCAGCCTGGTTGTGCACTGCAAACTCCCTTGTGGTCTGGCCCCGCCCCTCCCCCCGTTCTGTTCTTCAGGCGGCCTGAACTCAATCATCCCACGAAATGGAGAGGCTGGTGGGAGAGGGGAAAACCCATCTTACTGCTGAGTCATTTGTTCATTCAATTAGTATTTCTGGAGTCCTACTATGTGCCAGAAGCTGTTCTGGTCTCTGGAAATCAATCAGGACGACAGAGCCCCACCCCATCCTTTCCCTGGTGAATCTCCGCGCTGTTGGTGCTTCCATTCCGCGGTGTTTGCGGATCATGATTGACAAGTAGGGGGTGGGGGGAGGAAGAAAGCTGCCCAGGGAAAAAGGAGCCCTGGAGAGGAGGTCAGAAAGCTGACGCTGACAGTAAGGGAACCTCGGAAGAGCCAACGGAATCCGAGGGCCCAGCCTGGGAGGCACAGGAGGATGAAGGTGCCGGGGGCGGGAGGGCCCCTGACTCAGGTGCTGACGAGCTCCTGATTTAGGGACCTCAGCCTCAGACCACTGGCCTCCAGAGAAAGCCTCAGCACTGGCTGAAGGTTTATTCTAGAGCTCTGGGCTAATCTCTTCTGGAGTTTTCTGGGGGCTTCAGTATGCTGCAGTTGGCATCCTAGGGCTCGTCTCCCATCAGTTCTGCGTGTATGAGGTCATGCTATTTCCCCAAAGCACAGAACCCAGGAAGCGAGGAGAGCCCCCTGCCTAACCCGCAGTGAGTCCATTCTGGATGGGTGGGTGCTGCCCCCTGGTGGTGCGTAGAGACCTTGCGCCAACCCTCCCCTCCACTCGGGGCTGTGTTGATCAAGAGAAAAGGGGGCGAACCGATGGGGTGGTAACTGATTCTGGACTTCCCATCAGTCCCACGACCTCGTGTATCTCTGCCGGCATGACCCTCCCATCTGGGACTCTGCCTGCTCCTTCCCTTTTCCGTCCTTGATGACTGACAGGCTGAAGCAAGGCTGAAGCACTCACAGTTGGAAATTCCTAATTCCGCGAGCTTCTTTCCCTCGGTTACCCCCTCTTCTCCACGCTAGTTCCCTTGGGGCCTGACATCTCTGTCCAGGAGCGGGTTCAGGCCGTAGTGTCGGCCACCACGGGCTTCCCTCACTGGGAGTCTGAGCGTGGCAAAGGTCTGGGAGAAGCACGTTTGGGTCCAGAGTGGCACGAGGGGCCCTTCCGAGCACCTGCAGCTTTTCCGCAGCCCCTCAGACAGGGCCCTTGTTCTCAGAGAGGAGGCTGGTCCCACCAGGGCAAGCTGGGGAGCCTGACATCAAAGCCATTGCCCCCCCACCCCACATGGAGCTTGGTGTGGGGCTCAGCCACTTCCAGGTGACGGGAAATCTCTCCTTTCTCTCTGCATGCGGTCTCTCCTTTGGACTCTGTTCGTCTGGAGGCTCCAGGCCCCGTAGCCAGCCCCGTGGCTGCCAGAGCCAGATCCTGTCCTGTCCTTTGCTACCCGCGCCTCCCTCCGCTGTCATTCTGGCTCCTGCCAGGGACCACCCCCTTCTCCCTCAGGTCTGGGTCCAGGAGCCGGCACCCTTTCCCGGCCTGCCCTGCTCCCCAGCCGGGTTAATTGAATTGCTTTATCGGCCATCATCACTGAGGGGAGGCTGGTAGGGCCCTGCCACTCCTGGATGGAGAAAGGGAGGGAGGTTGAGAGGAGGCTGCAAGCCTCTAGCTTGTTTATCAGTTCATGTAGCCCTGCCTCCCACCCCCTCCACCCCTCCCCCGCCCCCCTCCCCCCCAGCCTGTAGAGATGAGCAGGCTCCAGATCAAAGTGGAGAGCTTTCCCAGGAGGGGTCTGAGGAGGACCCAGCGGTGTAGACGACAGCCCAAGGGTCCTGTGGGCTCAGCTAGAATGGCTCTGCACCAGGGCTGAAGTCAGGGTTTGGGCTGCTGGGAAAATTTGCTTGAAGGTGTATCTGGGGCTCTGGGGGTCTCCAGGTGTGGCCTTTGATGGCCCAGTTCTTTAAGGGAAAGGACCAGAAGGGTGCGGGCCACAAACTCAGGCCTGGCCAGGACTCCAGGCTTGTGAACCATGGACTTGGAACCAATGGGCCAGAAGGGACCTGAGTGCCAGCTTGCAGGCACTGTCTTGGAGAGGGATTTCGGAGGAGCAACAGTGAGCTCTGGGAGACCAGGCTGGGCCTGGGCCTGGGTCGAGGGCAGAGCGCGACACAGGGGCCCACATGGCCTCTGCGTGTAGAACGGTGATCACGGGAGTCACACGGCCAAGGCCAGCCAAGGCCCTCCCTCTGGGAGGGACACCCAGAACCCCCCTTGCTCAAGGCAGCTGCGGTAGACACCCAGCCTGCATCCAGAGAAGGTGCACGCACACACAGGTCAGCGTGGGGCCCAGCTGGCGAGACTCGTTTGGCATGCAGCCTGCCTCCGTCTTCAGAAGTGCAGATTCCTCCCACCCGGGCTAAACTCCAGCAAAACTGGTTCATTTCATCAGCATAGTTAATTAGCCCTGATGGACCCGGTCCCCTCCAGCAGTGTCCTGGGGGAAGGGGAGGAAATTGTCTGGAGAGGCTGACCAAACTCGGGCTCCTCTGCGGTGCTCTCGAAGCCCGGGGACCCTCCCCTGCTCGGGCCAGCCTGGGAGGAATGAAGACCCCGTCCCCAGCCGCGCCCAGGCTGGGGAGCCGCAGGGCGGATCAGCACTGTATTCCACTCCGCCGCTCCTGTGCCTGGCACGGTGTAACCATAACAATGGTTGGTTTGCTGTTGAGGGACAGACGTCGTTTTCTCCTCACTTCCCGGGCTTCTTGCTGCAGGAGATGATGTAAGTCAAGAACGCAGTGGTGCGCCTGGCACCGGGGGCTATGAGCGTGGCAGGTCGTTCCGAGTCAGGTGGTGACTGCCACTAGGAGGCAGGGCGCTGCCTGGCCCTTCTCTGTGTGTTCTCAGTGACTGGCACAGACCTGGGCACTCAGAACACTCCGCTCGTGCCTGATGCGTGGACTTGATGAGGAGCGGGGCCGGGGAGCAGGGGAGAGCCCTTCCTGTTGGCAGCTTGCCATCCTGGAGGGAGCACAGGGCGGAGTCAAGAAACCCGGGGCTTTGACCCAGTGTCCCCCCTGCTTGGTTGTGGGAATTCTGGGTAGAACCCTTCCCTCTCTGGGCCTCAGTTTCCCCAACCGTTCTACGAGGGTGTTGGGCCAGGGAATCACTAAGGTATTGTGGTTACGATTGCTGTGAAGCAAATTATCCGCCCAGTTTCGTGGTGTAAACCCAGCAAGCATTTTATTTGGCTCATGGTTTTATGGGTCAGGAGGTTAGGGGGGCTCAGTTGGACCGTTCCATGCGGGTCCGTGAACGCTGGGAGGTCAGCTGGGCTGCATGCTCACTAGGCTGCGTCCACCAGGGCGCGTTCACCTGGCTGGCCGTCGATACTGGTGGTCGGCTTGGGTTTCAGCTGAAACTGTCGACCCAAGCACCTGCGAACACACAGCTTCTCCAGCATGGGCGGCCTCAGGGCAGCTGGCCTTGTTATGTGGCAGCTGGGTCCCCGCAGAACCTGTAACCCTTGAATACCTCCAAAGTCACAGAGCATCACTTCTGTTATAACGTGCTGGTCAGAGGAGGCATCTTTTTCTCCGATTCCAAGAGGGCGCGCCGTATTAGTGAGACCCCCCCACCCCACAGTCTGATACTTCCTTTCCTGGAAACAGTGCCTTCCCTTGCCTCTTTGCAGGGCTCCCTTGGGTTTGAGGCTGGAACCATTCTTTCTGAATAGCTCTGGGAGAAGTCTCCTTGCCTGGGGGACTTCTGGGTGACAAGCCTCCAGAAGGAAGCAGGCCATGGACTTACAGGTACAGGAAGGAAGTTCATGTTTAATGAGCACCTATTATGTTCCAGCTGGAAAGAATTCTACACTATATCCTGGAGTAGGTACTCCAGGAGTTCATTTTTTTTTCTCATACCATTTCTGCAGGAAAGAGATTTTTGTTGTCATTCTCCTTTTACATTAGAAAACGGAGGTTCAGAGAGTTAAGTGACGTGCCAAAGGTCGTGCAGCTGGGGACAAAGCCGTGACTCAAACCTGCCTTGTGGCCCCCACGTCTGGAGCACACGAGGCAGAGGGAGCCGGCTCCCCTGCCCACTGCTCGTGTTTCCTGTCCTCCCTGCCTGCTCCCTCCACCCGGGCCCCGACACAGCCACTCACCTCTCTCTGTGAGTGTCCCCATCCGGTGCCTCTAAGCTGACACCCCCTTAGGAGAAAGTACCCTCACAGGGGCTGATGACTGGGAGTCCCTAGCCCCCTGGAACAGACCCATCACATGGGCAGCCACAGATTCTTTGCCCCGCTTCCTCCCACCTACAAGTGGGCTCTCGCTGCCTTCCCATGAACCTGGGGCAGTAGCTGTGACCCACAGAACACAACTGAAGTGACACGGAGCCACTGTCAAGGCCCAGGCCTTAAGAAGTGGCAGCACCCACCTCCCGTCCCTTGATACGGTCTCTCTGAGCCACCACGGAAGAAGTCTGCCCCCGCCCCCCAGAGGAGAGCGATGTTGGAGCGGTCAGCGGTGGACGCGCCTCCGGAGACACGCCGAGGCCGGCCCTGCGGCGGTTCTCACCCACGTGCCAGCGTCTGCCCGAACATGCGTGAGGCTGCCCTCGGCCCTCTAGGCCAGCCCGCCTGCCGCTGAATGCCACCGAGTGACCTCAGCTGCCACTAGGGGAGTCACTCACAAGCTCTGCCTGAATCCCTCATGCGAAACCCCATGAGACGCGATAAAGCAGTTGTTTTAAGCCACTGGGATCTGGGGTAGCTGGATACATAGCAAGATGTGCCAGCTTGGTTCAACCCTCTCATTAGACCTACTTTACAGACCGGGAAACGTAAGCTCAGAGGCATCGAATAACTTGCTCTGGAGCTCCCAAGAAGCGGAAGGCCTGGCTGGCGTTTGAACTTGAACTTGGGAAGGCCAGCTCCACATCTCCCTCAAACCCAAGGCCTTGTTATACTGCTTCGTAGTGCACTTGTGCGTCCCTCCTGGCAGGAGGGTTGACATTTCAACCAAAACCTTTACTTTCAACCAGAGGGTTGAGTAAATTTTCCGGGAGTGATATTTGTAGCATCGAGACATTCCCCATGCGGGAGGCATGTGAGGAGATCGGGAGTCGGGAGCGGGGGAGGAGGGGTTCCCTTCCCCTCCCCACACTCCGAACGGTGGGGGATGATTCATCTCTCTTTGTGAGTCCATAGCTGGCACAGAGCCTGTCACAGCGGATGCTTAATAAATATTTGTTTAACGAATAAACTGGCCCACAAAGGCGTGAAGTGATGGAGTTGGGAGTGGACCAAGAGCTGGATAGAAAGGTTTTCCTGCCATCTGCTGGCTGTTCGTGGAACAGCACTGTCTTCTCCGGCCGGAGGAGGAAGTGGAAGGTGCCTGGGGGACTGGGCTGCGTGTGTCCGCCCAGGCAGCAGCATCCCACCCAGGCTGGAGAGGGCCCGGTGGGAGTGGGGGGGCCTTCCCCTCCCCCAGGAGCCAAATCTGCTTCTTCCACTGTCTGGGCTCCTTGCTGGAGAGGCAAGAAGCAGCACCTCCCCTTCCCACAACCCTTCCAGTACTTCATAAATACTTGAGATTGAAATTTGAGAAAGTAGGTAATGCGCCCTGGCTGGTGTAGCTCAGTGGATTGAGAGCGGGCTGAGAACCAAAGTGTTGCAGGTTCGATTCCCAGTCAGAGTACATGCCTGGGTTGCAGGCAATGACCCCCAGCAACCGCACATTGATGTTTCTCTCTCTCTCCCTCCCCTCCTCTAAAAATAAATACATAAAATCCTTTTTAAAAAGAGAGGAAGTAGGTAATGGCAAATCCAGTATTTCATCTTCACCTTGTGCTTGAAGAGAGGGGTGGGGCCGCTCACTCGCAGCTTAGAAGGTGGCTCGCTCCCATGAACCCTCAAGTCCCCTGCTGGCCCCTACCTGGCTCCCAGGCCTTCCCAGCCACCCCCCCCTCCACCCCTTCCCTGTGGGGGCCCCCACACACCGGAGTCCTGCAGAGCTGACAGGTATAGCCCTTCCTGGCAGCAAGGCGGGGCAGGAATTCCCCCCTCGAGGCCCTGTAAGTGGACACCAAACACCGTCCTTACATCGGACGCAAAAACCTGACAGCCAGCTGACCCTTGGACAACGCAGCCAAAAATGCAGGCGGGAGCAGGCTCTGTCTGTAGAACAGCACAGAACGGCCAGAGTCCGGCTTCCCCGCTGCACACAGACGGGAGGCTCTGCCTTCCCCCGAGCTGCTTCCCCCCGCCCCCCGCAGTCCAGTGAACTCACAGAAGTGAACCCCGCGGGCACAAGGGCCCGGCCGGCCGTGTATTCACTGGGAAAACCCGCATGTAAGTGGCGCCGTGCACTGAGAACCCCTGCTGCCCGAGGGCCGGCTGGGTCCGCCTCGGAGAGCCGGCTGTCTCAAACACCACACACAATGGCCGGCGTGGAGCCCCCGGAGCCCGGTGAGGCCCGCTGCAAGGACACCAGGACAGTTCCCAGGGGAGTGGGTCCATGTCCCTCCTCACTCTTCCCAAGTCCCCAGCCGGCCAGCCGCGCCCGCAGCTCCCACAGCCTCCCATCCACGCTCTCACCCCAACACTGCCCCCACCCCCACCCGGGCCGGTCAGAGAGGCAAGAGGGGGTTGGTAAGAACAGACACTTTATTGTACACCATGGGGGGAGCAGAGAGGAAGGAGGGGCTCCAGGGTGGCAATACCTCGTCCCCTCCCCTGGGCTGAGTGGTCTTGACCTACCCAGGGCTCCGGCCGGCCATGGGCACACGGACTCAAACCTGCACCAGGACCTAGGGATGCTCTCAGTGTGTACTCGGGTCTGTCCAAAGCGGCGCTTGGGATGAGGAGGGGCCCTGGGCGCCCTTCCGCAGCCCCAGTCACCAGGCCCCACCGATGGGGCAGCAGGCCCCCAGCTTCGGGGCCTAGCGGTCGCTCAGTGGGTCAGGTGCCTTCCAACCTGCCTGTCTCTCCTCTTCTCCACCGTGGGGACCGCTCTGGGGGCAGTGGCAGGGGTGCAGCTGTAAGGACAGGCGGAAGGGCACCCCAGCCCGGAATACTGCAGGCCTGCCCAGGGTCCGGGACCATCCAGCCCCCCGTCCCCAGCCCCTCGGCTTCCCCTTGCACTAGTGCAGGGACCATCTCTACAGATTTATGGCCGAAGGGCAAGACCAGCCTCACTGGCATCGACCTGTGCGCCCTGCCTGTCCAGACCCACCTGGGCTTCCAGCTGCCTCAGCCGAGACGGCTCCCTGAGCACTACGCTGGTGATCGGGCCACAGGGCAGGGAGCAGGGGAGTCTCGGGCACGCCCTGCCCTGGAGCCCACCGTCTCCCGTGGGTGCTGCGGGACAGCACCACAGCCAGGGCTGGCGGGGACCCCGCACAGGAATGTGGTGCTGCCTCCTGCTCCCCTGGGAAACCTGGGGCTGGGTCGCACCTCGTCAAAGGCCCCACCTGCCCTGGACCGGCCCCGCCTCCAGCCCCCCGAGGCCTGGGCGAAGGTGTGCGTGCCAGCAGCCCGGGGGCCGGGCGCACGCAGCTCCCTTCTGAACTCGGTCGGGACTGTCCCAGAGACACATGCAGGGCCAGGTGCTGTGAGAGGCCTTCCCGGGGCCGCACCACCCTAAGGAGCCCGGGATTTTCCTCGGGACGAGGAACTTGGGACTCTGGTGGAGACAGCAGGAGGCTGACTGGAAAATAAATGCGGGGGCTCCCCTGGCCTCAGCAGGTCCCGCCTTCCCGGCAGTGCGAAGGCAACAGGTCCCGGCAAGGAACGCCCGCCTTGCCCAGGCAGGGAGCTTCCGGCAGGCTGGCCCCGAGGCCTGACTGAGAGGAGCAGGGGGAGGTGAGGAGGGCGGCGGGGTCTTCGGGGGCACGGTGAACACCGGGGTCCACAAGTCAGCACCCTACACGCAGCCACACGCACGTAGGCGCACACGCTACACACGCACACGCGCGCGCACACACACACACGCACGCAAGCTCCAAGCCCTACGGCTAACACAGCAGACACAGCCGGGACAGGCCAGGCGCGCCCCCAGCCCGCAGGACCGAGCGGCTGCCCCGCTCAGTCCCCGAGGCAGGCTGGTGGGCTGGGGCCTGGCCTAGCCACAAGCTACAAAATTAAAAATATATTAGATATACAATGAAAATAGATCTGTACAGCATTGAGGATGGAGAGAGTCCGCCAGCCGCAGGATACTATCGGGGTTGTCATTGACAGCACGGACACCCCCATGTCCAGACTGACTACACAACAGAAGTGGGGTACACGGAGGAGGATGTATAGTGGGGTATCTCTCCTGGGGCCTGGCCTCTCCTGTTGCTAAATCGGCTGGGACTGGGCTTGGGGCCACGGAAGGGGTGCTGCCGGGCGAGGGGGCCTGAGGCGGGACGTTGTGCTCCAAAGGCTGGGGTCTCTGGGGAGACCTGGGTCTCTCCTCTCCCCTCAGGTCAGGGAGGTGGGTGGGGCTGAGAGGGCCAGAAGTGGGGGGAGGGAGGGAGGGGTGGGTAAGGAAAATGGTGGGATGGGGGATGGCTCCCCAGGCAAGGGAGTGGGCAAGGGACTATGGAGGGAAGGAGGGAACCCTGGGTCTAGTCTGTCCCCACCCCAAGTGACCCAGAACCCTCTGTCCAGGTGCCCAGGCCTAGGATGTGGCCTGTTCCCTCCCTTCCCGCCACAGCTCTCCAGAGGTTCGCTGTGCCAGCCAGTCTACCCTCCCTCCTACCTTCCATCCTCCACCCCCACCTCCCTACTCATCCATCACCCATCCACCCACCAATCCACCTGCCCATCCATCACCCATCCATCCATCCATCACTCATCCATCCATCCATCACCCAACCATCACCCACTCGTCTATCCATCCTTCCATTGGTCCATCCGTCCCTCCCAGCCTTACTCTGAGGGCAGCCATACTCCAGGGTCAGCCAGAAGGTAAGAGTTGGGGTGGGGAATGCTGGGGGGCTGCACCCCAGGACAGAGACCCAGCACGCCCCACCCCGGGCAACCTGCAGGGTCCACAGCAATGCCTGTGGCCCTGGTCAACGTGGGCCAGGTGGCTTGGGAAAGGTTCCCGGGGCGTCTGTCCACGACAGGCACCCGGGGAGCTGTGCTCACACAACAGAGGGTGAGGGACGGCCCAGAGGGGCAGAGGAATTCTCTTTGCCCAGGTGTCGGGTGTCCTGGGCGTGGGCCCCAGAACCCCAGGGACCCCGTTCCAGGGGAGAAGCTGCCGCTAGAGAGAGAGTAGGGGCCCCGGGGGAGTGAGGGGATGTGCTTTGCAGCCGTGCTGCCCACCGTCTGAGTTGTGCTGTGGGCACGTGTGCTCTGGAAACCTCGGGGGAAAGCAGGGGCCGCCACTCTGGGCTCCAGGTTGGGGGTGGGGGTGGGGAGGGGACAGGGAGACGGCGAAGCCCTCACGGAGGTAGGCAGGCTCCGGCCTCGTCATCACCCGCCCAGGCAGAACCCAGGACACCAGAGATCGCACCTGGAGCTGGGGGTAGGGGCGCCCCCTTACCCCTCTGCTGTCGGGGCACCATGTGCCCCACACCACCCCGCGCCTGAGCCCCGGGTGCAGACACGCCTGCCCCATCTCCAGCCTTCAGTCCGGCAGCCTCTGGGGCACCCCAACCCTGCCCGCAGCCTGCCTGTCGCCTGCACCACCGCCCGGCAGCACAGAGGGACTCCGAGACCTCAGAACTGTAGGCAGCAGGTTAGGGGGAGGGGAAGAGGGCGAAGTGACCCCAAAAGTGGTCACTTGGAGTTTCCCCTGTGCTGGGAATCAGAACTTCAGGATTATTCCAATTACGTGGCCACCATCTGGGGAGATCTCAGAGGCTTAGATGGTGCGGCCCCCACCCAGGTCTGGGGAGCAGAATCAGCTGGGACTGGGGTGGGGGAAGAGTCAGGGTGGACCCCTCTCTGGGGAGGGGAGAACAGGCTGGGGCGGGGGCTGGCTGGGTGTGGAGGGGAGGCGGGCGGTGCTGGGGACCGGCGGTCACAGCTCTGACTCGGGGGTGCTGGCCAGGAGGTAGCCGCTCCCATAGCGTCCGTTGGGGTCCCCGCCGGGCTCCAGGGGCGATGTGCTGCCGGGCCCCAGGTAGGAGCGGTGCGTGGGCATGGGGGAGGGCGCCTCGCTGGGCACCTTGTTGAGGATGAAGCGGGTCTCGTCGTTCTCCTCCAGGTTGGAGATGTCCTTCATCATGCGGCCCTTCTTGTAGGACACGGAGAGGGTGTTGGAGCCGTCGGACAGCAGGTGGAAGTGCCGCAGGACGAACACCACGGGGATGGGCAGGGTCGCCACCAGGATGAGGATGATCAGGAGGGCCATGGCCCAGTTGGGGAAATACAGGTAGCGCTCGGCAGCCTGGGGGCAGACGGGGGGGGGGGGCCGCTGCCTCACAGGGCACGCTGCCCCACAGGGCACGCTGCCCCAGCCTCTTCCCGCCCTCTCCAGCTGCCCCACCCACTGGCCCGCCCCTGCAGGGGTCCTTACTTAAGTTAGCTGGTCACCTGCGTCCCGGTCTCTACACTTGTACAAGGGAAGGGTGATGTCACTCCCCACACACGGGGACAAAACACGGGTTAGAGAGACGGGATCGGTGCACTAACCCTCCTGACCCTCCGTCCTGAGGGTCCCGGCGGCCACCCTCACCTCCTCTTTGATCCAGGCGCTGTAGCCCGGGGGCGTGACCCCCAGCTGGATGACGCTGGCCGTGGTGAGCACGGCCATGCACAGGGGAGACACGAACTTCCACATGTAGAAATAGAAGCGGTAGGGCCGGAAGCCCAGCATCTCCGTCAGCTCCTGCATGAACCTGCCAGGGGCGGCAGAGGGCCCAGAGGTCGTGGCCTGTTCCTCCAGTTGTATTCCTCCAGAGCCGCTTCCTCCAGGAAGCCTTCCCTGACCACTCCATCCCTCCCAGGCTCTCCCATTCTTTGTCTTCAAGGCTCCTGGTGTATTATCTGTGGCCCCGCTGGCCTCTGGGCAGGCTCTGCCGCCTTCCTCTAACCTCCTCTGACCACATCAAGTCACAGCCCACCCAAGGCTACCTACCATACAACCCATGGGGCACACCAGAGGGCTGTGTGCTCTGGGCGCCCCCACCCCCCCCCACTCACAATGGCCTGGCTCTAGACTCCCCCTGCTGGAATAGAGGTGGCAGGGCACCTTCCCCAGTGTCCAGAAGGCTCTCTGACTCAGGGGTTTCTCACTACCCCGCCAGTGGGTGGAATTCTGGGGGGCCAGCTGGCTGTGCCCAGGAATGGCGTTAAAACATCACCTTTACCTCAATAATACCTCACTGCGATATCACATTTCATTTCTATTATAAATGCAAGCAACCACGGCAGTATTAACAGCACCTGGGACTCTGCCAGTAACAGATTAAACCTCAGATATTTCCCTATCACATCGCGGTGGAAATTACCTGCACATATCACTGGTTCTCATCGCTCATTTAAAGTTGCCACTGTTATTAGACCCACAGCTAGATCTCGCAACTTAATGCGGTAAAAATGAAGTACACAAATATTACATCTCTGGTTTTCAACAGTGTGCTAATTTTCAATAAATCGAGTTACCTGCACAATACTACACATTTTATCATATGCATTTAAAAATAACGTTCTGAGAAGGGGCTCACGAGTCAGCGCCTTCCAGAAGTGCGTCCCAGCCCTGGCTCGAGGGTTGTTCCCCGCCTTCTCACGGGGCCCCCCCGCCCCGCACCCTCCCAGAGGTGGGCGGCTCTCTCAGGGACGGGGAGAGAGCCTGGTTCTAAGGCCAGGTCCAGACATCAGGGGAGGGTCAGGCTGAGGGGGCCAGTGGAGCCCTGGCCTTCAGCAAGGGAGAGGGGCCCAGTCCTGGGGCCTTCTGGGGGTACTGTTTGGTCCTTACATGAGGAATGAGGCCGGGGTGGACAGTGAGCACAGGTCTGCCCCAGGCTCAGGCCACGAGACCCCATCCCTTCTCATTGCTGAATCCCCTTACCCACCAGACCCCCAGCTCGGGCCCCAGCCACAGCCCGCCTCTCACCCCTGTGCAAACAGCCTTAAAGCCGTGAGTCGGGCTGCTGGAGTCTACCAGCGCTTGGGAGGCAGGGGCCCCTCGCACACCCACTAGGCGCCTCAGCTTCAGAAAGTCCTGAGCAGTCGGCACCCAGGAGAGGTGCTGTGGTCACTGCAGGCAGTGGAGGGTGGCGTCAGGGCCTGAGCCCGGGAGACGCATGCCCTCAGCCTGGCTCTGCCTCTCACCAGCCAGGGTGCCTCCCTCTGGGCCTCAGTTTCGCTAAAGGACCCCTGAGAGCACCTTCGGCTCTGTGACCCCCTGCCCACTCACAGCAGCCTTGGGAACACGGCACTCTCGGGGGAGCCACGCTTGCTGGGACAGACCCCTCCTCCTGTCCACACCCCTCCCCCACGGCCCCCTTACTTCTTGGTTCCATAGATCCAGGCCACGGCGATGTTCTCGAGGATGACAATGAGGGTGAGCGGCAGGGTGGCCGAGTAGTCGTCAAACATGGTGACAAAGTAGTTTCCGGAGCGCTGGACGAACAACAGCCCCACGAAGAATGCAAAGACACAGCAGCCCACTACAGAGAGCCGGGAGGCCGGTGTGGGGGCAGAGGTGCAGGTGGGCGGGGCCCGGGGGTCTCAGGGGCGCCCAGGCCCCTCCCATCACACCGCTCCCTCCAGCAGGCCCCGCCCCGTGGGTCAGGAGTGACTCTGTCAGAGCCACAGCCCCGCCGCTGTCCCTGGGGCCGCCCGCAGGCCAGGAGCAGTTACCTGTGAACATCTCCTTGGGCACCTTGAAGGTGTCGATGATGGGCGTGGTGATGCCGGCCATGGTCCCGATCATGCTGCCCAGGCCCAGGTTGATGAGCATCAGGAAGAACATGACGGACCAGAACGGGGACGCGGGGAAGTGCGTCATGGCCTCGGTGAAGGCGATGAAGGCCAGGCCTGTGCCCTGCACGGACTGGGGGGGGGGGGGGCGGGGCGGGGGCGGGGCTTCGTGAGGGCCGGGCCCGCGTCCGCCCTGCAGCGGCGGGCTTCACCACCTCTGTCTGCCCTCAGAGCTTCAGGACTTTCCCAGGGGTCCCCACCCCCACTAGGTCCAGCTGCTTTGGCCGGTGTGTCTCAGATTTGAGTGGGCATCAGAATCCATCCCCCCAAAGGTAGTAAAACACCAACCGACTCAAGAGTTCAGCTGCGGGGCCTAGAACCCTCCAGCTGTGGCAGGACCCCAGTTGATTCAGACGAAGATGCCCCCTTTTAGAAACACACTCAGCTCAAGGCACTCCTCCTCTAAGAAGTCCTCCCAGATTGCTCCCAGCTCTGGTCTCCAGGCCTCAATGGCGTGATCTCAGCCGCAGCTGCCCCACGGGATCACAGTGGGGCCTTTAAAAACACCTGCGCCTAGGTCTCACCCCAGGGACAACGATCGGATTGGTCTGGGAGTAAAGCTGGGCATCCAGGTATCACAGAGCCCCCAGCTGGCTCAGACGGGCAGCCAGGTAGAGAACCCCAGCACTGATGCTTGGGCCCCGCTCTGGGGGTGACTGACCACACCTGCCCACTGACCGACCCCACCTCCCCGTGGTCCTGTGACGTCCCGTGGCCGCGGGAGCAGCTCCCCACGGTGTGAGTGTGCAGTGTTGTCGTGTGGGTGTGGTCAAAGGGGAAGCACCGGAAACACTGCTGCGGTCCTGGCTTTGTTCCAAGGACCAGGCCTCGCCCGTGAGAACGGGGCGGGGTGCTAGGGGGAGGGGCAGGTCCTGGAGGCTGCTGGTCACCTGGGGGAGAGACAGGCAGGGGTCCCCGGACAGAGCCCCTGTGCTCATGCTCACACGGGAACAGGTCAGGGGGACGGGGTGCAGCTCCCCCAGTGCTCCGGTGGTGCCTGGAGGGGCCAGCTGACTTAACGTGGAGCTCGGGTGTCCACGGGGGTGTCACCATCCCTACCCTCCCCGGCAAGGGCAAGGGGAGCTGGCTCTGCCCCCTGTGAGCACCAGCCAGGTCCCGGAACCTGTGGGCACGTTTCTCTCCTGTTCCCACTTCTCACGAACAGTCGTTGGGAAAGCTTCCAGTTGTACAAACAGGGATAGAACGGGGTGTCTGAACCCGGGCCTGGGCATTAATGAGGGAGTGGCACCCCCATGCCCTACCCCAGGGTCTGAGGGCCCTGGTGGCCATGGGCGCCAGAGTGGGCAGTGGGGACAGCTGGGGGAGGTGGCAGAAGCATCAAGGGGTGACTCAGCACTTGGCGGCTTGAACCCTGGGACCCCTACTGACTAGGTGACCCTGACCGAGCTGCCATTGCAGGCTCCTCACCCCCAACACTGGGACAATACTAACTCCTGACTCTGGGCACATCTCGAGCGCCGGAGGGGACAGACAGCAAAGGGCAGGCGCTGCTACGAACCGTTGTTTTCTGTCTGCCGTGTGCAAGGCACTGTCCTCAGTGTGTGACACGTGGCAGTGACCGGTGCACAGGAAGCCCACTCAATAAACGTGAGAGTCGGTCGTCCCACACGCTCCCTGTGACTGCTGTGACGAGTATGCCAGCCTCGTTCCCTCACCGAGACTCAGCCCACCTCAGGGCAGGGGTTTGAGCTGACACCGTCCCCTCCCCTTGTCTGGACACGCAGGAGGCCCTGCGCATCAGGTACACGAATGAGCCCCACGGCCCGTCCGCCTCCCAGCCCGCTCGGGAGGGGCAGCCTGTCCCGCACCTTGTCCAGCTCGTCCTCCAGCAGGCAGGGGTCGAGGCCCAGGGCTGGGAAACGGTCCTCCTTCACAGTCATGATGACCTTGTACATCTCCGCGTAGTCCTTGGTGGTCAGGTGGGAGAAATTCACATGGGGAGGGATGAGGTCCCGGCTCAGGACGTTGGTGTGGAGGTACCCCAGGATTTTCTCAGCATTCCTGCAGCAAAAAGGGGGGGGGGGAGGACCCAGGAAAAAGGCAGCGGTGAGCTCGATCCTGGGGGCACCTCCCCGGCAGGACCTCCCTCCGCCTGGCCATCAACACAGATATCTGTGACACCTCGTGGTCCAGGGCTGGGGCTGGAGAGCTCCTCTGGCCTGGGACACAGGGACTCCCCACCCACAGCCCGCCCACCACCCTCCCGGGTGGTGCGGACAGGGAGGAGAAAGGATGGGGTGGGGGGGAAGGGCCACCTACTCGACCACGCATTTCTCGTTCATGATGTTGGCCTTGAAGCCCAGCACAGCAAACACCACGAGGGTGGCCAGCACCGAGGTGAAGAAGTTGATGAAGGACACCAGGGCGGCGTCAAAGTGGCAGTTGTTGTCCTGCTTGTTGTAGCTGGAGAAGGCGATGACGCCCCCGAAACCCAGCCCCAGGGCGAAGAAGACCTGCGTGGCTGCCTCCCGCCACACCTGCGGGTCCAGCATCTTGTCCAGCTATGTGGGAGGGGACCGTGGGGGGGGGGAGAAAAGGGACACACGGCAACAGTTTTGTTCAAGTGCACTGGAGGTCCCACCGCACCACCTTTCCTCAGTGGAGTTCAGAGGCTCCTTGGTGCAGTGGGAAAGAGCCAGGTGACCCGGGCATTTTCCCGAGCCCATCTGTAACCATTTCCCCACGTGTAAAACACAGATACCAAGAGTATCAACTTCAGAGCATCACCGTCAGGCTTGGGTAAGAAAATAAACACTGCGTGCTTGCAGACTCTGTTCATTCTAATTGCTGTCATTGCTTACCACGGAGACATCGTATAAAGGGACATCACCAGGGCCATCAGTATAACGCGTAGTACACAGCTCCAGGGAGTGCCACTCACTTAGACTAGAGTGTGAGTGGTGCCTCCTGGAGCTGCTTGGGGTACAGCCTGCACAACAGCACAAGAGAACTAAGAACATCAAGGTGTCCTTCCACTTCAAACCATGAAAAAAGATACCAGCGTCTTCCCCCTGCCTACCCACTCTCCCTCTTCCCAGAACTAAAAGGCCCAGTGCTCATTCACACACACCTGCAGGCTCCAGGTCACAGAGGAACCCCCTCCCCCTGCTCCACCCCTCCTGGAGAGGGGCAGCCCCTGCCTGACCCCCCACCTGCTCCCAGACCAACAGGAGCCTGAACCACAGCAGTGTCTGGAAGGCAGGGGGCAATTTCCAAAGCGTTTTCACGACCGTGGCCGTTCTCCTTTCACAGACGAGGAGGCAGGGACCAGGGCCTGGACCCAGCCTGGGGCTTCAGAGTCAGACCAGCAGTCTGCCTACACCGCTGGACTCCCACCTTCAGTCAGCTGAGAACACAGGCAAGCTGTCGTGCCTGTTCTAGCAGCCTCGGGTTCCTCACCAGGAATGTGGGAATACCAAGTCTCCCTCCCAGAGCCACGGCGAGCATCAGATGGACAGCCGCCGGTCATGTCTGGCCCCTCGCAGCACTTAACCCTGAAAAAATGCTTCAGCCCTCATCGGGACAGAGGACTTTGGGGGGTGGGGTGCCGGGATTGCGATTCACACTTTGCAGAGCAGACAGAGGCCCACAGGCGCAATGACTTGCTCCAAGCCCCGGCACTCACAGGCCAGGGCAAGGCGTTCCTAAACTACAGATCACCTCATTCCGGGCCGTGGTGCCCTCCTAACACCGCCCCCGACCCGCTGGCCCGTGAAGCAGCGGAGGAATCATCTGCTGGGGGCCAGGGTGCTGGGAGGGGCAGTCTGGACGTGCAGGCCGGTGAAGTAGTTTAAAATGGTCACAGCGGAGCACGCACGGAGCATGCACAGAGCGACGCCTGCGGGAGAAACCGAGCAGGTCCTCTTCTTTCCCCAAGTGCAAGCACACAGGCCCGCCTTTCCTTCTGGAGCCGCCCGGGGCCGGGCTGGTTCTGGAAATCAGGCTTTTGTTCCCGGCTGTGCTGTGGACAGGTGATACAGCGCAAGTGCCAGCCAATCACACGGCGCCCCAGGGGGGTCTGGGACAGGCCTGCAATCGAACCCATCCGCGGTTCTGCGGCAGACTATGAATATCCTCACGGAGAGAATCAATAGCGACTAAAAATAGCCTCGTATCTGCTCAGGTCATTCTGACACAAAACGAGTTCTGGGAAAAGGAAAGAAAACACCTTTGTTTTTCCGGGCTCTTTGGATTCAGGCATTGTGGGTAAGGACACGGGGCCTCTACACGCTCCTGACAGGGGTGTGAGATGATAAAAAAGAACAGAACACAGTCGCCCTCCCTTATTGGCGGTTTTGCTTCCCACAGTTTCAGTGACCTATGCTCAACAGCATCCGGAAACATTAAATGGAACATTCCAGAAATAAATAATCCACAAGTTTTAAGTCGTGCGCCATTCTGGGGAGTGTGGTGAAACGTCACGCCGTCTGGCCCGGGATGGGACCCGTCCCTGCGTCCGGCGGGCCCCTCTGCACGCGGGACCAGGCGTCAGTCCCTGCAGCCACCTCGGTTATGGGCTGGACCGTCACGCGGTATTGCATATTCGTGTTCGAGTCACTCTTATTCTACCTAATCATGTCCCCAAAGTGCAGGAGCAGTGAGGCTGGCGATTCGGGTGCGCCGAGGAGAGCTGTAAGGTGTTGGCCGTGAGTGAACAGTTGTGTGTAGGCACAGCGAACAGCGACGGTGCGTAAGGTTCGGTGCTGTCCGCGGTTTCTGGCATCCACTGCGGGGTCCTGGGACGTATCCCCTGCAGGTTTCGGGGGGGCTGCTGTAACCCTAGTCCTACTGGTAGCTCTTCTGCACCTCCCCTCTCCTGGGTGGGTTTTGTTTTTTTTTTAAATCCTCCCAGAAAGTCCAGAAATGGGCGGAGGGATTTCTCACGCCAGCATTCATTGATACAATAGATGTCAATCATGACCATTCGATCAATCCGGAACCTGGGCACCCCTCTCAGGCTAGAAACCTGGACTTAGTGGGAGGGCTCTGGGTAGTTGGCTGAGTTCCAACCACAGAGCAGCAGAAGGTTCTGGAACAGAGGCAGGTTGAGAGGGACCTAGCTCTGGTCGCGTCATTTGCGTGTTGAAGTGTCTTTGTTGGTTCTCTGCTGTTGGCTGGAAAATCTTTCCCGCTCCGTATGAACGCTCCGACTGCAGTGGACTTACGACTCTTCAAAAGCACCACCATCTCCTCCTGCCTGTGGTTTTTGCCCAGTATATTCCCCCTGCCTGGAATTTCCTTCCTCCTGTGCATTTGCTGGTGAACTCCTATGAATACCTCAAAACCCAGCACAAATATCACCTCCTCTTAGAAGCTTTTCATGACTGCCTCTAGCAGAACTAGTCATGGTCCTGGGCTCTCACAGCTCACACCTCACTTACAGGTGAATGTGTCTGTCTCCAACACTTTGTGCTTCTTAGGGATGGAGCCCACCTGGGCCATCTTTGCATGAGCAGCGCCTGACCCACGAGAGAGAAGGCAGGATTGGGGGAGTAGGGAGGGGAGGACAAGAGAGAGAGACAGGCTGAGGCTGACCTGTGTCCTAAGGTGAGCCGAGCCAGGCACCTTCAGTACGGAATGCCGGTGCGCCCTGAACTCAGAGGGGACCTTTCAGGGGTCCCGGGGTGATGGAGCATGACTCCAGCAAGGTCCTGACCACAGGGTCAGCGAGAACGAACCCACGGCCAGACCTCAGGAAGCCCGGCGCCCTCTCCGGACACCAGAATGAGACTGCAGGGGAGAGGTGGGGAGGGGCCGCTGCACCGAGGGTGAGGCTCACACCCGCCCCAAGGGGGCGCTCCCCCAGTGGTCTCCTGTCCCGTCCTCGGCAGGACAACTGACTCACTCCTCACACAGGAAGGAGAGGTCCGCGGCATCTGACTCGGGGGCATGGAGATGCTGTTTGACTCCACGAGCTGCGGCTGAGTGCGCGGCCCGGGTGGGTCTGTGACGGGAGCACACGCCTTCGTCCCCTCGCACACCCGCCCGTGCGAGAGCCAGGTGGGACTGCGGGACACCAGCTGGCACTGGAGCTCCGGGTGCCACTGCCTGAGGGCAGAGTCACCTTTAGAGGGATGGGAGTAACAATACTGATGCTCCCGGGGGCCTCTCCTGACGCTGTGATGGAGCCGCTGTGCTTCGCCCGTCTTGCAGCTGCAGCAAGAGACAGGCTGAGGAGCTTGCCCTGAGACTGCTGAGCCGTGCTCTGGGACGGGACCCAGGCTTCGGGCTCAGGGCGCCCCCTCTGGTGACAGGCTGGGCTGCCCGCCTCATCCCGCTCTAGCTGTGGAGCAGAAAAGTCCCACGGAGGACCTCCACGCCCGGCCTTCAGGGCTTGCAGGGGCCCCACTTCTCTTCTCTCGGGGTTCCAGCCCACCCCTGACCCCGCGGCCAGTCTGGCTTGCTGGTTGGGAGCTCGCTTGTCTGGAGCCCGGGGGCGGCGATGCCCACAGCTCCGCGAGCACGGGGCCCACCGAGTCCAGTGCCCGGAGACTGGTGTGGCTCCTCCCAGAGTGGCTGCTGGGAAGCGCTGCAGTCTCGTGGTTTGAAGCTCAACAGGCAAAACAGGGTCCACGGTAAGGTCTCCCTTTCGTCACCTCTGTAGCCCAGACGCCCTGTTCCCTTCCCTAGACAGAGCCATGACGTCAGCTTCTTGCACACCCTGCCGGTGATATTAATGCGGTATATTTACACACACACACACACACACACACATCTGTGCACATACCCATGTGGGTGTGTATTCGCCCCCTTCCCCCACTGTCCACACCAGAGATGTCCGTGGAGCTCTGCACCCTCCTGGGCCACCGCCCTCGACCCCAGTCTCGGCACCCCCTCAGTGTGCTGAGCTGGGAACCCGTGGCATTCCAGGGCTCCTGGCCGGCTGCCCCCTCTCTGCCTCGCCCCCTCGGTCTGCCCACGGGGCCACCAGGCCTGGCTCTGCAGTCCCTGGGCCCCATGGACCTCAGCGGCTGCAAGACGTCCATGACCCCAGGGCTGTCCTTCTTCGTCTGGACTGCACCTGGGATGACCAGGCCTGTCTCCGGCTCCGGCCCGAGCCCGCACCCCTTCCTCACCACTGGCACCCTGCTCCACCCAGCGGGGGGGCGGGGGGGGCTCAGTCTACCACCAGCAAAACCCCCAACTCGCCACCCTTCCCTGCAGCCCCCTCACCTCCCTGTCCTGACGCCTGGGTTCTCCAGCCTGGATGCAGGTTAGAAGCCCCTGGAGAGCTTGGAAGAGACTGGACACCATATGCAGTGGTCGGGGTAGTTAGTTCCCTCACTCAGCTGTGAGTAGCAGGAGCGGGCCTGATGACTGGCCCGTCTGCCCTGCTGCCAGGGCTCCCAGGGGCACCTCCTGGGCGGGGGGAGGGGCTGAGTGAGCCTGGCTCCACCCTGAGCCCTGGGTTTCCACGTGGCTCTGTCAGGGGAAGGCACGCCCTCCCTCGGGGCATCGGGGCCTGCAGCAGCCGGGGTGCCCCGCCCCGCACTGCACCGCA